TACATATATATATACATATATATATATATATTAATTAATAATACATGATATTAATAATTTTTTACGCAGTTTTTTTTGTTATATTAAATCGTATCTAAATTATGAAACTGATGTACTATAATTTGTAATAACATATGTTGCAATAATATTTAAAAATAGCTTCCATAAATCAACAAGTATTAAGTTGTTATTACTAATATGATTAATATGATTTTATGCGCCAAATTATATTTATTGAAATATTTAATATTACTAAATTGAAAAAGTTGAAGAATATATTAATGTGTAAAAAAAATATAATTTTTTATATATTTATTTTTTATGTATATTTTTTTTTAATTAATCGTGATACATGGAATTGATACTATACCTGCACAATCTCTACAGCATTCAGAGAAGAATTCAACAGGTACTACGCAAGTTCTTCAATGACGTAAAATATAAATTATTGATTATATGCAATTTTGTGATTTTAAATTTCGCATTTCTAGTCAATATAATATTTAATTATAAAGAAATATTTCGATTCGAATAAAATTAAATAATTTATTTAAATATTATTATATAAAAATTAACTTTATTCTTATATAATAAAAATAAAGAAATTAAGAAATAAATATAATTTATCAAATATGTTAATTATAAATAAAAATAATTAAAAAATAATAAAAAAAATTTTTTAAAATAGAAAAATAATTATTAAACAAAATAATTGTTAAAAATTTTTATAAAATAATATATATTTTATAATAAATAAAAATTTTATATTTTTATATTTATTTGAATATATAAGATGTTTTTATAATCATATATTTATTTAATATAGTTACATTAAAAATTTTTATTATATAAAGAATTATTAATGTTTTTTTCAAATGCGCTCTATATTATATTATATTCCAAAAATATGGGAACATCCGTTAATTGGAGATTCTTGAGATAATCTTAAGAAACATTTTCGTTTGAAAAAACTTTCATTATAATTTTTTTAAAAATTGGCCAATCACGGCCAATCACGGAACCTAATTAAATCGCGGCATTGTTGACTTTATATCGCTAATCCAAGCAATATATATCAAAAAGTATATTGATAAAATATTACAAATATTTTTTATCAATATCGAATTTTATCATGAACAATGAATAAACGATAATACGCATTTTTTTCGATATATGTTGTTTGGATTTGTTTGTGCTCGGTCAATAATATAGTTTCAACTTATCAAGCAAGTTACATCCTCCGTGATTGGTCAATATTTATTGTTACTAACTCATTGACAAAGCAATAATGAAAATTTTTACAAAAGATAATGTTATTTGAAATTACTTCAGTAATCTCCAATTAACGAATATTTTTTAGATAAATCCATACTTTTTCTGTAAATTATTTTCAATTTTATTTTTAAAATAGTTAAATTGTTTTAATAATATAAAAATTGTTTTAGAATTGTACAAATTGTAGAATTATAAAATGAATTAAATGAATTATGAATTATGAAATGATATGTACCATAATATATAATAATTGAATTTTAGCATTATTATAATAAAATAATATTTATACTTATATGAATTTATATTTATTATACTTATACTATTTATACTTATATGAAGTTTGATTGATTGTTTCAATGAATTCAATATACATATTTTATTAGCTGAAAATATCATATTTACAACATCATATAAATTATATGAACTAATAAAATAGCCTTATTATAAAGTGTACAAAAAATTAAAACTTTTTTAATGTTCTTTTATAATTTGTAGTATAATTTTCATTAATTAAAATAATATATTATTATTTCTTAATTTTTTATATTAATTTTTAATATAATTTTTGTGTTAATAATTAATAATTTTTTAATATAAATGTTATTAATAATTATTTTAATAAATGTTATTAATAATAATTAATTTATAACATTTATGAATTATATATAAAAAATTTTTGATTCTTATTAATTTATCAATAAATTAATTATTTAGTATATAGTCTTGAGAAAATAGTAAACTCTTGCAATCAAATGAATAATACAATGAATTTCAGAACTCATATATTTAGATATATTCATTCAAAAATTTGGATTAACTAATAGGAACAAATTATTATAGATTCAGTTAATAATACAGAAACTATTACATTTTGATTTTTAATTTATTTAAAAAATATTTTTAATGAACAATATTAAAAATTCTGTAACAATTTATAATATAAATAAATAAAATATACTCAAAGTTAGTAAAGATAGATTAAGAAAATGAGGATGCTAAATTAAAATAATGTCAATATTTTATTTGATTGAAAATAAAATAATGCAGAAAATTTTTCTTTTGAAAATAATTACTCTATTATAATACAATATTAATACAATACTCTAATAATGATTCTATTTATACAATAATCTTTTAAATAAAAATTATATATTGCCAAAATATAAGTTAAATTAATATATATATATACATATATACATATGTATATTAAATTTCAATAATATTAAATTGAATCTAAAAATAAATTAATTTATACTTATATTATTTTTGAAATATAATAATCTTAGATATAAGTATATTAAAATTCTTAGAAAAACTAATTTTTTAAAAAGGAAAAGTAATATTACTTTTAGATATTTTCAGAAATATATAAAATATTTTAAATGATTTGTATTGCATTTGAAATTTAATTATATAGATAATAATTTTTTGAAATAATTATTTAAAATAAAGTTATATAAATTATATAAATTATGCACATATGGATATTAAAATATTTATATGTTGCAAAATAAAATTAATAGAAAATAAAAATAAAATTAAAATACAAAATAAAATTTATAGATATAATATAGATATAATATAATCAATATTTATTTCAAATTATACTAATTTTGAATTCATTCATATTAAAAGAATGGTAATCCTATCGATATTTCCTTAGAAGAATAAGAAAATACCTTATTTAATTGTATAATTAAATGTATTTTAAGTGACATATTTTTTCTAAATAAATTATATGCTAATAAAATAATAAATGTAATAAAATAAATTATAATAATAAAAATAATAATTATAATAATGTAATAAAAAAAATTATAAAATAAATAAATATATATATATAAATAAATAAATTAATTGATGTAAAATCAATGATTTATATTTCTTCTTTTTCAATTAAGAAAAACTGTTCTTTTTTTATACTTGAATTTTTTTATATTTGAATGAGAACAATAATTAAAGAATCTATCATATAGTAATCAATTTAGCATTTAGATATGAAGAATCATGTAAAGAATCATTTTTTAATATTTTATTAATCATTATTTGATATAATTTCATAATATTTCTAAAAATGTTATGGTTTACATTTGTACATAGTACAGATATTTTTTCTTTTTTATTATAATAAGATTATCTTCTTTATTTGTTAAAACTTTGAAGAACATTACATAATATTTTTTCGTTCTTAATAAATTAATTTTTATTAATTTGTAATAAGATATTTCTATTAAAAAATTGATTAAATCTCAAACCAAAATTTATATATTAATTAAATTTAATTAAATCTCTTAATAAAATAAAATATAAAATAATTATTTCTACAAAACAATCATTATTATCTATGATTTTTTTATAATTTTGAACACTTTTAATTTCACTATTAATATTTTTAACTTTTGTTTTTATTGGATTTTTATATATTTTTCATTTTTATTATATTTTTTATTAATTCTATTATTTTTTATTTTTATTATTTAAATTTTTATTTTTTTAAACATTTTCAAAGTTTATTTGAAAATCTTCAACAAAGTTATCTATTTGTGGTTTTTTTTTATTGAATGTTATTTGATGTCATGCAATTATCAATAATAAAAATTAAGATTTTTTGACAGATCTCTGTAAATATAATAAATATGTATTAAATTATTATAAAATTGTTATTATAATTTTGTTTTAGATAAAATGTTTTATAATTTACCTTTGTTTTAATTTTCTTATTTCTAAAGTTATTTCTATTTCTTCTAAAGTTCATAGTTTTGAAATTAAATTTCACTCAATCAAATTCAGTTTTAATTAAAACATTTTTTAAAGTATAAGCTATTAATACTTGAAGTATTAATATTAATTTTATTACTAATTTCTTCAAATTTTTCTTTTTTTAAAAATAAAAAATTTCTATAAATATTATGTTCCATTAATATATTTTGATAACGTCATTTTTGAAAAAAAAATATAGTATATTCCTACCATTTTTTAAAAATATTTTGCAATTTATATAATTTTTAAAAAACATTAACATACATTTTATTGAAATATTGAATTATATTTAATTCTAATTATATTTTGTGTCTATATATTAATTTTAATTGCATCATTTTTTTTTTATATATCACTTTTTCATCATTTTTTTCTTAGTTATATATTCTTCTGATAACTGAATATTTTTATTATTTCTTTTTAATTGTTTATATTTTATTTTTGTGATGTTATATATTTATAACATCACAATATAATTTATATTATAATCAAAACAAAAATAAAAAAAACATTTAAATAATCATTTTGCATATATAATATTTATACTTAAGAGATATAATTTTCAGACACTATATGTTTTTTATATTTATATATAATTATAATATTTGTTTATGTTTGATTAAAAATAAACTTGAATGTAATAAAATAAAAAAAAGAATAATTTAAATTTTATATTGATAAAATTGAACCTAATATTTAGATTTTTATATTGATTTATGTAAAATTCTATATAATTTCTCAACAATTTATTATTTATTAAATAATATTTTAATTTTAATCTATTCTTTATCTGAATATGCTTTTATTAATTTTACGCATGTATTTTTATATGTGTTTATATTACTTTGTGTACATAAAATTTATTAAAATAATTCTAATAAAATATTTTGATTTTGTAGAATATTCAATATATAAATATTTAATATTTTAAAAATTATTAATTATAAAATATTTTTTATTGTAATTTCTTTTTATTATAGGTTCTTTTAAAATTTTCATTTTTGGTTTTCAGAATATTTGATTTTATTGATTATACATATAATTATGTAATAATTACATAATTTATTTTTTCTTGCGAAAAAAATTCTTCAAATCATATAAAATTCTATTAATTAAAAAAAGAATTTTTGATTTTGCTTTTATATTTATGAAAAATATGTAACTTTTAGAATTTTTGTATATTTAAATCTAGATTTAATTAAAGAAACATATATGTAAGAATACATTTTTTAAATAAATAATGATTATAGATATCAGACAATTGTTTTAACTATTTATATATATAATGAAACAATATATCAACATTCTATTTATGTATTTTTATATTAAAAAATATAATGTAAAAGAAATATTTTGTACGTAATATACAAATTATATAATTTAATAATTTATATTTTAATTTATATATAATATTATATATTATATATTATTTATATTAGCTTACATATATTGCTCATTGATTTTGTTTCAAATATATCATCAAAGTTATTATTTTAATAATTCTTTTATCTAGTATATGTTATATTTTTTATATATGTTTCAGTTTTAATTTTTTAGATATTTATAAAAATATATTTTATATTTTTAATATTTTTAACAAATATTATTTAAATGATTTAATGATATTAATTTAAATGATATTTAGATTATAACTATATTTTATAATATATGCTTTAATAAGTGACATTTAAGTTTCACCAATAATTTTTTTCATTGAGGATTGATTTAGGTTAGAAAAGTTCAATTCGATATTGTCATTATTCTAAAATAATTTTTTTGACAATTTTTCAATTCTAAAATAATTTTTTGTAACAAATGTAATGTAAATTCTAGAATTGAAGTATTATGTGTTTATATTTAACTAAACAATCACAGATATTTCATTTTATTTTATATTTAATCATATTCAAGTTAGGTTTTCAAGTAGATTTTTGAATTTTTATTATATAAAAATAAAATTTCAATGTAAGAATTATTACATTTTTTGATATTGTTAGATAATAACTTAAAATTAATAATTTAATTGCAATATTTATTGATTCATATATATAATGAATTAAACATATATGTAACTTTTGATGCATGAGTTTCTATCTAAAATTTTTTAATTCCTTATCGTAGTAACTAAATTATGCAAATATGTTATAAATTTTTTGTATAGCGAAGATTTAATATATATCTACTATATTGTTTCAAAGTATTTTTTATTATATAAAAAACTTAATAGATATAAAGGCAAATATTTTCTAATTTTTTATATTTTTTAATTTTAATTTTTATAATCTAATTTAATTTAATTTAATCTAATCTAATCTAAATCCAGTCTAATTTCATTCAAAATTAAAGCCAAATAGTAACATATAACAAATATTGTTTATAATAATGATCGACAATATATTTAAAGTTCGCCAAAATTAAATTGCTAATAAATATATAAATACTTAACTTAATTTAAATATTTTAAATTAAAAGACAAAAATTATTTATCTATAGAATAAGAAATAATCTTACTAATCTTAGAATTTAATCTTTTTATTTGTAATAAATATTATTATATTATTATGTAATAAGTTTATAACAAATATTATATAATAATTTTTATTAATATAATTATATAATAATATAATATAATATAATTATATAATAATTTATTCTAAAAAAATAATTTTACACTTTTTATTTGTATAATAAATTCTTATCACAGTATAATATAACAGTATAAATATTTTATATTTGTTATCTTTATGTATAAATTTTTATTTTAGATTTATCAAATATCACAGAAACATATACTAAATTTTAAATGCAAAATTCAATATCTAATATGTATGATACAATATTTATATATATAATATATTATATAAAATATATATATTATATAAATATTGAATTGAAATTATTATTACGATAATAAATATTTTTTAAGTATTTATATTTAATTTTATATAATTTATTTTTATATATCTATAATTATAAATATATAATGTATAATACCATAATAATGTTATTTGTGATAATATAATAAATAATAATTATTATATTAATATAATAATATTATATTTCATCAATTACATCCTATTAATATGATTCTATTAATTATATCACACTTTTATTATTTCACAATAATTTTCATTCTATAAAACCAGTTCACTCAAGTCTATTTTTAGTCTTTCAAACATACATTTTTGCTGACAACTCTAGAGGGAGGGGGTGAATTACTCTTAGTGGGGGATTGAATATGGGAGGGGAGAAAGAGAGCTGTCAGGGCAACGCATGTCTTCTGATGTTTCAGTAGGCCGCGCGAGATTGTGTCGTGAATGTGATATTGTGAGTTTATTATTCATCTTTTTTTTTTATCTTTTATGTCATCTGTCTGTTTTTTTTTTCTTACAATAATATTCTTGTGTGTGATTCTATTTGTGATTGTGCAATGTATTGTTATGAGTAAATATTTGAATGTGTATTAGAAGGTATGTACATATACATGTCAAATTGAAAATACATATATATCTATTGTGCATATTACTTAATATATTATCATAAATGGAAGATTGTTATTTAACTATAAAATATGGTGATTTAAAATTTATAAATTTTCAATAAGAAGATTAGAAATCATTGGAAAAAAAAATATAATACACTTTTTTTCGATTTAATTGATATTTATTTGTATATATATTTGTATAGTATATACAAGCACACTTTGTACATATTAGTTTTTTCTCTTAATTAATATTTTAATAATTTATGATATATTTAATGAATTATAAATATTGAATAAATATTTATAAAAATATTCGCTTAATATTATATATTTAAATTAATAAAACTAAATAAATTTTATAATTAATTGATAGGATAAAAATAAAGAATTTATAAATTAAATAAAAAAAAAATAAATAGTAACGTTGATTTATTTGATTTGATTTATTTTATAATTTTCACTTTTTTATCAAGAGAAATGATATAAATTAATTTTAATTATTTATTATTAAATTTTTTTTCCATATATTTTCTATATATTATAATGAAAATAAATATATGTATATATATATAGAGAGAGATATGCATATGACGTATACCTAAGGCAAATACATATAAAAGAAATCTATGTACATATATGTAATATATAGATATTTATACATGTAGATACTTATATGTAGAGATTTTTAAAAGCATGTAAGCTCAAAATTGAGATAATAATTAAAGTTGCTTGATTCATGAGAGTATCATATGACATACGGTCATGATTTTTTTTTTGAGTTATTGATTATCGACTGTGTAACAAACTAAGAGTTTCTGGAATATTGCATGCCATCGCTTCTATATCATTCTATTTTTTGTTTCATTTATATTTTTTCTTTTCTATTTATATATTTCATGCAAGTTTTTTCATAGCAATGTTTTAAAAAAAAGAAAAAGATTATTTTTCTTGTTTTTTTTTTTATTCTTTAATAATCATAAAGGAGAGAAACAACTTTTTCATTAAATTTTCACTAAATAAAATGTCAAAATATAAGTTCATATTAATATTTCAAATCAAGAATTTGATTAATATATTGAAAACACGAAATTCCACGAATTTTGTTTGAAATAATATTATATTATTTCTCTGAATATTTCTCTGAATGTAATATTGCGTGTTTCATAACTGTCAGATAAAATGATACGATATTATCTTCGAAATTGTTTTATATAAGTATTTATTTTACACATATGCTACATAAAGACGAAGAAAGTTATTAATTTATATATAATTATGTACAAAGCATAATAATATATATATATTAAAATATGTATAACTTGCATATGAAAATAAAATTAACAAGATACGTATTTATATCAATATTATTTAACAAAAATATAAAAAGTGGCTCTAATAATATTTTAAAATTCTTTTCTTTAAAAATCGTTTCTTCTATGTTCACATTTTAGATATATTTTAAATCGAGGATATTATATTTTGGAAGTTATATTTTGATATTTCATGCATTGTGAAATATAGTGAAACAAGTAATTACACATATTTTAAATATTGTATTTTTTTTTTCTGAATTTTTATATCTTATATTTTATATCTATATACATATACTAAATGAAATATTTTGAATGAAGTATGTTAGATTTTTTATTAAAAAAAATATTTGTACTTACATTATAAGTTATCTATTTATTTTGAACAGCATATTTTTTGAAATTTTGAATTTTAATGTTTTTTGTATTATTAAATAGGTATAGTAAATTTTAATGGAATATTTTGAATATTATATTTTGTGAAATTTTAAATAAATTATATTTTATTTATTAAATTATATTTTATATTTTTATTTAAGTTATATTTATATGTATATTTAAGTTATATTTATATAATGAATTAAAAAAGGTAGTGAAATTTCATGAAAAAAAAATACTTTTCTCAATAATATTTCATCTTTAAAATTATTTAAAATATTTATTTTTAATTATAATGATTTTTAGAAAATTTAAATATGATGAACGAAATTGATAAGTATTAAAAATTTTTTCGAAGATTACGTAGTTGATACGATTTTTAAAATTTTAATAATAATAGCATAAAATCATATATAAATTTAATGATTTAAATAGTACATAAACTTATATTTTTCAATGAAATTTTTTTTTAAATAAAAAATATATATAATGATCAAGCTATTTAATCAAGCTAACTTAATCAGTGTTTTTCTCTTAATAGAGATTAAATAAGAAAAAAATGAAATAGAAAATATTTACTATCTTCTTCGATTAATATAATGTATTCATTTTTTTTATACTTGTAATATTTTGGAGAAATTAAAATGATTTTTAATTTTTTATGAATATATGTACATATTTTTAAGTATAAGTAATAATATTTTTTATTACATATGTTAAAACAC